AACTGTAAAATTCACGATACCAAAACAAATGTTTTTAGCCAAAACTTGATCTGATAGTGTTAGGAAGGGCAGAATCGGGTCTTTAAAGCCTATCTACTACTTCAAATTCGCGAACAGTTTTAGTCCCTGTTAAAATTTGAATAACAACTCAATTTTAGAGTTAGCAGAAACCAGGATCCAGACTCCCAGTCGTGTCCATGATGGTTTCAGATATCCACTATGTTATTGTGCTTTACAGGACAAGTAAATGCGTAACAGTACTCTCTTATTGTTTTTGTTCTGAAAAATTATTTGAGGACTTACTGATTTGCTTTTACCACAATTAGTGGTAGTGAGGAAAGAAGCCACTACTGTTGGTAGTTTAGTGAGGAAAGTCGACTCTAATTTGGGTTTATTTATTATGATTCCCTGTGAAAGGATCAAGGGAAATGAACTTTTGATCAAATCGTGATTGTTTTAGTATTTAGTAATATTTAAAAAAAAGTTTATATTCGGAAACGTTTCGCACTTAAGTAAGTCACATTAAAACATTATGGTCTATTTCACTCAAAATACTTAACTGACTAAGCAATATGTAAAGAATCTCTGGCAAAACACCTTCCGACCATTCATATCTCATATTTCTGGCAAGTGTCTCGTACATTTGTCATCCGAGATTACTATTTCCTACCTATTTCCTTCACCTAATTTCTCCTAATAGCACTGTTTGCTCCCCCACTCGCTTGGGGGGGGTTAGCCCGAAAGTCCCCACTTGAGACACGCTGTGAATTTTACCTTTTTGATTTATGGCCCCGAAAAGTCGCGAATGCAGCGCCCCTGCAGCCATTGTTACTAGAGACAAAGTAGCGTGCGAGCAGGGAAAACAACTGCAAGCCGCAAAAAGAAAATATAAAAAAACGTCTGCATTCTACAATTGCGATTTGCGAACTGCGAATTGCATTTTCCATGGAACGTAAATGGAAGCTATTTAGCAAAATGTGCACGAAAAGCAACAACGAACGGCGAACGGCAAACAGCATCCCAGCTAAAAAGATACAGCGTGTAAGGGGGCCAGGGGGCGTGGCATGGGGGGAGGGGTAAAAGGGGCACGAGGAGCTGCGGCTGGGGTACATGGGTTCGGCGGCTTTGCTCCGTTTTGAGGTCAATGTACAAAGCATGCAACCAGGGAGCATTTATTACGACTTAATGCGCTCCCTGAGGGAACAAGGGGATTTCGGTGGGTTGCCAGGGGAGGCCGGGGGAGGCTCTAATTTCGTGTTTAAACTGCTTTTCACACAAACCACTCACACACACATGCGAGGCCAGCTGGATGGTGGCTGCCTCAAAAAACATATAAAACTAAGATATGAAGAGGAATATTTTTCGGCTTACGAACCGAAAGTGCGGCACCCTGCCCTTATGAGGGCAACACGGGCTATCTGCGAGTCGAGCATGCCCCTGCCCTGCAGGGTATCCCAACAAAAGCAATCACAGCGAACTAAGAATGCGGCGAACAAGTGGAAAAAAGCAAAAACAAAAAGGGCTGACAGCAGGAGGTGCAACAAAGACTCAGGTCTAAAAGAAGGGGCAATGGGGGGTAGAGATTCAGCTACAAGCAGAAGACTGGGAATCTCGCCAAGGCACTCACACACTCGCCTGGCAACACAGCAATATATGTATATATCCACACACAAAATATTACAATGAACAACAAGACAAAATAAACAAGCATATAAACTAAATTCGGCAAGTCGAAGGTTCTATACCCTTGCTCTTGGCCTATGTCGTATGATATATGATATATGATAAACGTATGTGTTTTGTATATAGTCCTCGATATTCTTTCTGAAGCCGAAGCTTGTATACACTTTCTGTTTGCAATTGAAGCCAAACGTACCAATCACTATAAAGTTATTTAATAGTTTTGAGTGTTAGTATGTCAGATAAGTAATACAATCCTCAAATGTTATGGTGTAAAACATTTACAACAATTTAATAATGATTTACTAAATATTTTTCTGTGATTTCAAAAAGTTCCTTCTTATTCCTTATATAAAATGCTAATTAAATAAGAAGCTAAATCGAATCGGCTGTTGCTGGTACATACACTTCCAGAGTTCCTGTGTGATTATGTACCACGTGTTAACACGTTTTGCATGTTATTAAGTTTCAGGATACATAACAAATACAGTCGTATTTGTGAAGTGTTTAAATGTAGGGCGCATTTGTAAGAAGCATTTGTAATGACGGCATACTAAGTGGCTTATACTTGCACCAAAAAGTGTGTGTCCCTTAAGGTGATCAGTTCGGTGATCGAGATGCCATTGGCAGTGGGCGCGGGGACATTAAGGGCGTGGCCACTGGCCAGCAAAAGCGAGAGTACCGCTTTGGCACCCGCCAAAATCTTGGCAAGCCACAATGCTAAAATGGCCAAAACTAGCTGGCAAATGGTAATGCCAAGAAGTGCTAGGAAGAGAGCCGCAGCAACCACTGGCAATTGCAACCTATTATATTACACTTTCGACGTCATCGCGATGCTGCTGCTGCAGCTGTTGTTGCTGTTGCTGTTGTTGCTGTTGCTGCCGTTTCGGAGTCACTTAAACGAGATAAATCAACGTGGGCGATTACACAATATCTCAGGGTGATTGTCTCTCTTTCCCCCACCCCCTTGGCTGGTCCGCGCTCTTGCGCTTATGTCTGTGCATGACTTGGCAAAAAATGTGCAACTGCAACTGCAACAGCAACAGCAACAGCAACAGAAACAGCAACAACATCAAGTTGAGCCCACAGTCGGCAAAAGACTCGCGCCATTGGAGCAGTGGGTCGCACTTGGGGTCTCGTGGAAATATGTGGAAAGACGTGGAAAACCTGTAAGACAAAAGTAGACAAAATCAATAGCACACACACACTGGCGCACTCGTACACCGGGCGACACTGCAAATAAACAGAAATGATGACAGCAATTGCAGCAGCAACAAATGCTGGCTTTTCATTGCTGAAGCAGCAGGCAGTTACTCTGCCCCTGCAGTTGTTGTGTTTTCAGCTTTATGAGCGATAATTAAAGTTAAATGTCTGTGCTGCGCTGCGAAGCTGCGGATGTTACTCGTGGTTGCTGGCATCAGCAATACTCTAGCTGCCAAAGACTGCAAATTGTTGTGTGTTTGTGTGTGGAAAAAAATAAAGTTTTAATGACTACTCTCTGGAGGGGAAGAGTGTGTCTCAGGCTCGCCTTCAGTCGGGTTCCCTTGAATTTGGTGCGGCAAATCGAGGTCAGCTAAACCAAGAGCCGAAAACGAACCCTGAGGAGATTATCTGGAGGTCTTGAGTACTGCGATGCAGATGCATCTCAGAGATCTCCGAAAGGGGATAGTAAAAACACGTGAAGCAAAGAATAAATATAAAACATGCAAAACCAAAACCAAGCAACAGCAAAATGTCATGTTTTGTGGCGGTATAAAAAAAGAAACACACTCGAAAATAAACAAAAACCCAAAAAAAAACACAAACACACACACACACAAAAACAAAAGCAAACAAATAAATAAATCAAAAAGAGTTCAACGACCAAAAGTCGAAATGATTTCCGACAGCCAACGAAGAGAGACGACGACATCGGGCAGAAGCCGACGCGATGATGTGTACTTCGGTGGGGGCAGGGGCCACGGGGGGCTGGCGATAAGGGGGCCGGCGATGGGGCCAATTGACAAAACATTCGCGGCGCGTTAATCGTACCGAGAGATACAGATACAACAGCGGCGATAGCAGATAGGCAACGCTCGCGTGTGGATGGAAGCAGAACCGAAACAGGAGCGGAATCGAAATCGAAATCGGAATCAGAGCCAGAAACCAGAAACCTGAAGCCTCGTCGTCGGTGGTTAAGTTTATGCATGATTTGCATGCAGCTACAACAGCAGCCATTTAATTGAAATGCTAAATGCTAAGAGCCAAAAGTCTGCAGCTTGTGCAGCAAACACAGCTAAGCCAAACAGAAGTCAGGCAACCGAAGAGAGCACAAGAAGAAATATCTGCTTATGCATCTGTATCTGTATCTGTATCTGTATCTGAATGCAGCCTGGAAGCCACTACCGCTCTACCGCCCACGCACCGCCCATGGAAAGTCAGCAGCTACTGCGGCTCATCAGCGTCCATTTGGGGCTGATAAATGGAGGCATGTTGTGCGTATCTGCCAGATACAAATACGAATGACTGCAGTCGTTCGCTTTGTTTCCACAGCCGCTGCTTTTGCTGCTGCTGCTGCTGCGCTGCGCATTTTTAATGAGCGGAAATTAGTTGGCATTGCGGCAAGATGTTTTTGTGGCTGCCCATTTAAGTAGATACAAATGTATCTGTAAGTCATAAATTCACAATCAGCGAGGCGCGTGCCTGGCAAGTGTTTACAAAGTCAGCTACTCACATGTACGATTATTGTACCGATTACCTGTCAGATAAATTTAGCGCAAATCGGTTATTAGTGTTCTCCAGCCTGAGCAGCTCGCTGGGATTTGATTAACGCATCGATTGTAGTTCGGATTCAACGGAGTCACCTATTTTTGGCCGAGTCTTTTGGCTCACACAGCCACTTTTGGGTCATTTTTTGGGCTATGCAACTCGCAGATATATTTAGGTTATCCGCTTTTAGCAGAGTCTTGGCACGGCCAACAAGTCCACAGATACACACTCGTGCAATTCCGTTTATAGCCATAAAGTGCTTCTAAGAGATACATTGGCCAGACGAAATGCAGGGATGTGCACTTGCAGATGTTGGTGAAGAGAAGTTGGGTCTTCCCATAACCTAAAGCCTAATTAGACTGCACTCTTGTACTGCATTGGTGTATTTATAAAGGATAAGTCACTAAACACATAATTCACTGCACTGTCAATCGACTTCTGAGGTTTATATCTATATTGGTTCTAAAATTAACCTAGTCCCAAGATGTACATTTGTAGCCATATTTCCTTTGATTAACGTTACGAACTGTGAACTCTTTAGCTTTTCCGCTATATATTGTCGTAACACTCACCTGTCTGATGACTCCGAGGAATCGTAACGATCCAGACACCGCTTCTTTGAACCCCCACTTCCACTTCCGCGCTCTGTTGACGTCTTGCTGACTCCTTGCCTGGTTGATGTGGTTGTTGTTGTTATTGTTGTTGTTGTTGTTGCAGTCTTCCTGGCGCCCTGATAGAGCTGAGATCGCAATGCGTTTATATCCAATTTGGCTGACTGTGCCCCCAGTCCACCGGCCACGGAGCCCGCCCCCCGTTTGGTGCCCTGCACGATGCCAATGCTGCTGGGAGTACTAAAGGTTCGCGCTGGCTTTGCCGGCGGCTTCAGTTCGATATCCGCGACGGATGGGGTAGCGGGGGCCGGCAGCCGGGTGACGGTGGGTGTGTCAGCCGTTGTTGTACGTGGTGTTGCCTCTTGCGTTGTTGCTGTTGCTGGTGGTGGTGTTGGTGTTGTTGTTGTTGTGTTGGTGTCACTGGTGCCGCCGGCGCCAATTGTCAAACTGTTTAAGTTGACGCTGTTTTTCAGCTGATCAAACAATGACAAAGCCGTGGTGGGGCTATGCATTGCCACCCCTTTTGCGGTGGGTGGCGGCGGGAGAAGGGCCACCGATTCTTCAGTCTTGAATGCCGTATCCTTTAACTGAGTGGCAGACATTTTCCCTGGCTTTGTTCGGCAACTATTTCACTTGTTTCACTTTAGCTATTGGTTCTAACGAAGCTCCTAATTGCCCCACCCGGCTGTCACTATTCCTCGGGCCGGAGCCAGGCGCTTCAAGTGCTCGCCGCACATCCTAAGTATTCACTGTTGTAGTTAGTCGATGGAAATCCAATTTTAATTGCTCTAATCGGAAAGTTCTTGGTCAGCAATTTAAGACCGCACTGCAAATGCCTTTAAGTGGTATGGCCTTTTGGCTGCACAAATTTAAGTATTTAATTCGCCATGAACTTGCACTTTTCCGGATGTCGACGGGTGGTTCTCCGGTTACGAGGGACGTGGAGGATGTTTAGAGAATATATTCAACTGAAATTCATTTAATTCATTGGCATTTTTGGCTGCACTTCACTCCCGGCACTTATGACACACATTCTTCAACTCGATTCGAATCGATTCGAATTCGATTGATATTTCACTTGATCAGCATTTAATTAAACAACGTTGCGGGATTGATTTTGGTTGTGGCTTGGTTTTCGGTTTACGGGTTTCGGTTTTCGGTTTTGCGTGGGGCTTTTCGATTTCGGACTCGTTATCAAGTGTTTCACTGTGCTTTATGGCTTTGTGAATGGCTGATGGCTGATTGTTGCTTCGTTCTCGCTTGCTTCCGGTGCACACCCGAAACTAATTCTGCAAGACAGGCAAAAATCGCCAGATTCGCGCATTTGGGTAAACGTCATTAAGACCGATATCAAAACTGGTTCTAGCATTCGCGTTCAGCCTTTGTTTTGTGGCAGCAGCAGGCAAATCTAATCAACTGCACTTGCATTCCACCATGCCACACCAGCGACTTGCCTCTTGATGGGGCCGACTTGTCTGGCGAGCTAGCTGTGTACCTACTAGTAATTAATACCGCTTAATTGATTGTACTAGCTGGACGAAGTCTGGGAAGCGCCGAGCGCTGAGCACTGCAACTGCAAACTACGAATTCCGCAACCCCGCCGAATGGCGAACGAAAAAACTGCGATCCCCACGAAAAAAACTGCGGGCTGCTCTCGCTCTGCCTGCCGACTGACTGGGCGAGTGGGGCCGAGCATGATACAATTATACAAGGTAGTCTCGTCGGCTGCCTAACCGTTCGGCTTATTTTCAGTGCGTTCGTGTTTGTCAAGCAGAAAGGTTGTGTGCGGACGATTTTTTTCTTACTATTAACCCTTGTGTGCGATGTCGTTCTGCTAAGAACATAAACATTAATTTAGATATAAAAAAATTTTACTTTAAGATTCGGATATATTTTAAAATTAAGAATTTAAACAAAAAAATAGCTTTACAAAAACAAAAACAAAGATTAATGTCAAATTCCAAACTATTAAAAATTAAGTTATAAAACACTTCAACTCTTTTTACTATGTATGAACAATTTAACCCCCATGGACCATCTAATTGCTAAACTAAAAGCTCTTTTGTCGTTTCACTCGCACTTACTTCGCAGACTCCTCTCACTCGCACTTGTTGTGAGTAATGAATAGCGGAGTGCTTTTGCCGACGAGACTACCTTGTATAATTCTACCATGGGGCCGAGCGCCACTGCCCGGCCGAAGTGGGGAGCCGACGCGCCCCGAAGCGGGAGCCGAGCGCCAGCCGAGGGGCTTAACCAACTAGAACCGGGCACAAATCAAGATACGAAGCTCGCGCGAGCCAAGAACGAAGGCAACGAACTGCCGTTCGTGAGCTTAGTGGCGTCCGAGCAAATGTTCACTTTTGATTTCTGTGCAGCGGCAGCAGGTTTTCTCGACAGAGAGTGCGGGAACCACAGTGGGAGGGGGGCTATCTGGGAAAGCTTGTTGCGCCACAACAACGTGTATTCGTGTGCGAGTGTGTTTGAACTTCTGGAAAGGTTCGCGTTCGGGTTCGGGTTTGGTAGTTTTGTTAGTTGCTGCCGAGGTGTCCGCGGGTGTTCGGTTCGAGTAGGTGGCAAGTTTACTCGCACACACGCAGGCCCTGCTGCAGCTACCTGTTGATATGTGTGGGAACTAATCAGAATACGAGAGGTTCCTGCGTGAAACCGGTTTGCCTCAGAAGCCGAGCTTTGGCAGAGAAATGCAGATATGGGGACACATTGAACCAAACTAATTTGCTTCCTCTTGCCCTCGGAGCCGCAAAGATGGTCGAAGGAAACAGAAAAAGTAAACAGAGACTAAGCAAACCCAAACAATAACAAAGCAATGACAAGAAAGTCAGCTCACAAACTCAATCCAAAGTCACAACTGTTATCAGAATCCAAAGAGAGAGAGCCGAGAGAGGGCGATCGGCTCATTCACACACACATCCTCACATGGCCACTCATGCGAAATCACGTCATGAAAACAAAAACAAAACAGCCAGGGGACAGTGGGGGTGGAGGTGGGAGGTGGAAGCGAAAAATCAAAGCCAACACGTGCTTTTATTACGTTACAGGCAAGTGTGCGTACGCGAGCTTGTGCTCGTGTGCGTATGTGTGATGCAACTCTGAGAATGCAAAAGCGAGTGGGGGACAAGGACGGCACATGTTTACGAGTACCAGTTGTGTGAGTGTAACTCGTTTGAGGGGGCCCAGCCTTATTGTTGTTGTTGTTCTTTCAAGAATATTTCGGTTCTCATTGGTATATTTATGAATTTTATTCCCTGCTCTAAATTTAAACTCAATTGCACCTTTTTAAACGTTTAACATCGCACAACAAATCACACCACTGATTATTTCTTATTCGATTTTATATGTAAATTACATTTCCCGAGTACGCGGAGACGCGATTGCATGCTAAAAACGAACTAAGTTTGCGGTTTGCTTTTGCTGTTGCCTTTGCCGATGCATTTTCCTCAAAGCCAGCTGCAACTGAGAAAGAGAGAGGGAGAGAGCACAAGCAAATAGAGAGAACAAATGGGAAAAAGAAATGAAGAGAGCATTGCATTTTTTAACAGTTGCTTGTGCTTTGATTAATGATCTAATAATACTTATATTCTTTTAATTCTGCCTTCTTTGTACAATACATATTTAACAAGAAAGAAAGCCAATTTCTCCACGCCGAAGTTTGTTTACCCTTTACTAACTGCAAAGTTTCATTCAGATAGCTTCAAAGCTGAGGCGGACGGACAGTCGAACGAATATACTGTTGTTGATGCTGATCAAGAATACATATTTTTAGAGGGTCTCCTTCTGTGTTTCTATAAAAAGCGAAGGGCGAGGGAAAGAAATACGTTTATGTATAGTGCATTTGTTTGTGCATTTTTGAATTAAATTGTAGGATAATGGCCAAACCTGTAGAGTTGATTAATTTGTGATACTTTGATACTATTAATATAATAGTGCAGGGCTGTCTCAAACTAGATTGTTTGGTCTCTGTACTTTCTAAATGTAAAAGAGTACTGTGACGTATTTCAAAAGCTGTTCTATGTCATATAAAAAGTTGAAAGATTATCAAGATGGGGAAACAAACTATAGTCTTAAACAGAAAGTTCATACTAGATAAAACAGTGCTTGCTAGAACTTTTCCGCAGATACATCAATGTTCCGGAAAGAAAAATAAACGTCCATGCTATGTTTTAAAAAGCAATATCAACATCTATGTAACGATGTTAATAAATGTGTTTTTGTTTTTTTAATTCTGTATGTGAGCTCCTGAAAAGTCTTGGTACCCTTAACGCATTTTCAGACAGCACAAGCTTGGATGTATAAATAAGTACAGAAGATCCCTTTTATTTATAACAATTGCAAGTTTTATATACATAAATAAATTAAAACTATTGCTTATATAGCAAAAAATTTACCTTAAGCATTTATATCTCTGAAAAATACAATTTTATTTCTAACAATTCTTCCTTGATCCTAAATGTTTGCTGGGACTACGAATCCAATGTTTCGATGCATTTCTCTTGGCAACAATGTATCTAGCATGCTCATGTTGCCGAAGTCAAGCTGTTGATCGACTCTTGTTGCCATAAAAAGACTGGTTGCACTATAACAGCCATAAAACAAGAAACCATAAATGTTGTAGCAGCCAGTTGTTGTCAGTAAACAAACTTAAGCGCTTAGTTTCAAACGATCTTTTGAATATTTCCGTTATCCAGAAGTAATTTAAAATTAAGAATATACAAAAGCTAGAAAATTATGATGATTTACATACGTTTTGCGATATTCTTTTAACTTTCTTAAGGCAATCGACTTTTTTATTAAATATATAATAACGATTTATGAGCTTAAGTAGAGGAAGATTGTGTGTACTGATATTTCCTTTTTATTTGGCATAAGAGATGTGAGGTCCTATACAAAAAAGGCTAATTAAGGCTATTTTTAGAAAATATAATTATATATATATATATAACATAAGTATACACTGAATATATGGCTTTCTCATCTCATTCGCCTGTCTGCATGAACCAGCAGACTTTAGAAACTAAAGCAAATAAAGCTACCCAAATTGGTGATTACATTGAAGCCTGTTGAAATTGTGAAAATTCTCTAAATTGATCTTATTAAATATATTTTTATAAGCAACATACTTAATTAAACTTAACGCTGTTGAATGCTAAAAAGTAGTTTATTTAACACACATAAACTACTTTTTAGCATTCAACCGAGAGTTTGAAAAATATCCCAATATTTTGTCCAGTCAAAACCTAACCAAAGCTTACCTTTCTTAAATCTTATAAGCTGGAAATATTAGCTTTACTTGCTATCCTCTTCAATCGTCATTATCTCTACAGAATCGTAGGGCCTGTCACTGCGTAATTTCATAAAATAATTTTAATTTTTTTAAATAATAATAAAACATATATATATTTGCAAACTTATTGTTTTATTACCCTTGGTAATTCTTTGCTTAACAACATTAGTTCATTTGCACTCCATATCACTTTAATAAACTTGTGTAAAACATTCTAAAATACTGCTTTAAACATCGTACAAAAGAATAACAATTATGGTCTAAGAACTAGGCTTGAGCACATGTGGATAGACAAACAGCGTAAAATAAATTATTAACTAGTTGGTAGTACCTAAGGCATTTATGGATATACTATATACAATATACAAAGCTCACGACTTGGCAATGACAAAGCGTTCAAGTTTAGGTTAAGCGCATTTGGTGGGGTTTTTTTTAAACGTTAAAAGAAAAATTTGGCAGACCAAGTCATACAGAGGTAGGATTCTCTCTCCATTTCTCCATCTTACGGATGCGTATCATGTCCAAACGGAGGTGGGAATGAGGCCCTCCTTGCTGGTCCCAGGCGGTGTGAGCACTTCCTTGTTGAGGAACTCCAAAGGCAAGTTCACCAAGTATCCCTAGAAGAAAAGAGGCAGCTTAGCATTAGATTTTAAATAAAATTTTAATTCGAATTCCTACCTGAATTTCGTTGGCTCTGTTTGCCGCCAATTCTGGCTCCGTTTTGGCCAGCGGCGGCTCCTCTTGATACTTGCGCAGACTGGCAAATGTCTTGACAAAATCCGTGGGAATACACTTGAACACCTCGTCGTAGATCTCAGTGTTCCGTGTGGAGATCCGGCGCCAAGTGCCATGCCAAAACTTGTCGCAGACGGGATCGCTGGTGTCCAGTTCAGATCGGCTTGAACCCTCCTCCAAAAGGCCTGTATCCAAAGAGTGTTAGAAACAAGAAGGGCAAATGCGAAAAGCAACTTACCCAAATGCTCCTTGAAGAGATATTTGCGCAGACGTCCGGCAAAAACTCCGCTGGGATACTTTTTGCCGTTCATGCGACCGTCCTCGAACTCCTCGTCCATGATGATGGCCGCAATCTCCGAGTCCCGCTTCCCAATCATAGAGCGGTCATTGATGTTCGCCGAGCCACATATAACGACACGATCGTCGGCAATCAGCAGTTTTGAGTGCACATAGATCAGTTCCGTGATGGGTGTGTTGTTCAGGAAGGAGTGATTGCGCAGACTGTGGAAGGAGATGTAGTTCTGTGGCTCGGCCACACCTGCCTCTTGGAGGCGTGTCAAAATGGCAGTGCGACCCCTGAAAGAAGGTTATGATGTAAATTGGAAAAACTTATAATGTTTGATTGGTTTGATAAACTCACCTGGAAATTGAGGCATAGTTCCAGTGGGTGATAGCCCGGACGGCAATTCCCGTACTACCACCCACATCACCTTCAAAACCCGGCAGCAGCGGCATTATCACATACACACGGAACGCCTTTCGTTCCCTGTAACAGATATAGAGATATATGTAGATGTCTAATAGAATTAACTGGATATAGCATCCACTCACTTGTGCGCCCGCACGATCCTCTTGAAAAGGGTCTCGCCGATCTGGTTCCGGACATTGTTGTGTGATCCCGGAACGCCCATGCCCAGCTGCATGGTGATGAAGAACTGATTCTCGATGTACACATAGTGCTGCGCCTTGGTGATGGTCTGGATGTACGCATCGTGAATGGACTGCTCCACCAGGTCCGCCTCGATGAAGCCACAGCTCCAGGCCGAGACGCTGCGCAGCAACTGGCAGGTGACTCGCTGCTGGCGGCGCTGCTGCAATTGCTGCAGGTGGGAGTTCAGTCTCACCTGGTGGTAGCTCTTGGGCATCAGGTAGGGGAAACGCGAATTATCCCGCAGCTTCTCAAGCTTCATGGCGTTCCAGCGCTGAATAAAGTGGCGAGCAACATCCCTGGCGGATGCGCCGACCACGCAGAGACCCACATCATGCCAAGGCATCCGCGGCGTGGTGGTGCGATCGATGATGTCAACAAACGGCGAGTTCAGATTCATCCAGTCCTTGAGTATGAAGTTGGAGTAGTCCTTGCCGAACCAATACTTGGCCTGACCGTAGAACTCGCTGAGTATTTGCGTGCTGCTTGCGGCAACCGTCACCTCCTCCTTGTCATGTGAAGCGGACCTAAATGACTCTTCGTGGTCCGTTACATCGTGGGACTCAACGGTGTACACCTCGTCCGGCTTATCCTCCGCCGCCTCAGTGGCAGTAAGACGGTGCATAAAGTCCTTGCCCATACGGGCGCCCTTCATGGCATTGTTCTTGAGACGATCCAGCATGTTCTTCCGTTCCATCTCTGGGGTATTCAGTTTCATACCCTCCAAGGCAATGCTCGACTCCCCTGGCGTATCTCCCGGACTTGACACAAGCATCGAGGGTATCAGCAGGCGATCACCGGGCTTCAGAGTCCTCAACTCGATGCTGGTACTGGGCTCATTAGGCGACGGCGAAGACGATCGCTCCTTAGTGGTGGATGTCTCGTAGTTGGCATTGCGGGAGGACTTGCGCGATCCAAAGGCAGAGTCCGTGTCATCCTTGCTGAAATAGAGGCTGGGCGTGCGACGTGTACTTCCCGAGACGGATGCTGTAGAGATGCTGCCCAGATCTGTGAGCCGATGGTGGTGATCATCCCAGCGGCCGTAGCAAAGGTCAATGCCCCCCATGAAGGCATAGGTCTGATCAATGACCACGATCTTCTCGTGATGAGCCCAAAGCAAGATGCCTCCTCTAGCGTGATCCGGATGTCGCATCACCTGAAAGAGGAGCGATGGAAAACTGCTGTAAGGTCAGTTCATGTAAGCAGGAAAAGAACACCCACCTTGATGTTGTCATGCTTGGCCAGGGTGGACTTACTGTAGTAGCTGTTGATGCCCAGGGCCATTTCCACCTCCTTGTACAGCAGCACAAAGACGCGCACACCCTGCTCAGCCTTGCGCAGCAGGATCTTATCCAGGCGCCAATAGTCGCCGTCTAGCGCCGGTCGTTTCATATAGATCTCGGGGCTGAGCCACCAGTCGGCGATGTAGATCTCCTCGGTGGCGGCTTCCAAGCCATCGGCCACGGCCGACATGTACTGGGCACCGTCCACATACCACGAGGCCTGTGTATTGGCACGCATCGGGGCATAGGACATGTGAGGGTTCGGCAGTGTGAAGTCCCTCGAGTACGAGTTGGCCGTGTGCTTGAGGTACTGCATCCATTCCTTGCACTTTCGCCGTGTCCAGCACTTGAGTACGATGTGCCGGTTGTTGGTCAGCACCTGAAGACCCTTGCGCATGCCCGTCTGGTAGATGCCCGTGGACACGTCAAAGCCCTGGTCGAACAGGATCACCGCACGGATGCTGCCATCCGTTGGACGTACGTAGCCGAAGCAGGTCTCCTTCACAAAGAACCAACGACTGCGCCACGTTCCACACACCACATCCGAGCAGAAGTAGTTGCAACGTACGCAGCAGTTCTTTTGGAAGCAGCCAAAGAAGTTGCATCCCGCCTGGCCGGGTCTTGTCGAACCCGTCCGCTTCAGGATCACGCCCTCCTTGCCCTTGATGCCCATGCCGGGCACAAAGGACACGTTGGAAACTTCCACAAAGTTCAGCTGTAAGATATAATCGGGTTTAGTATGAAAAGCGAAATAATTTTCGTCGCATTTCCGAATTAAAGACCTCTTAATAAGAAGATGCATAACGCTCATACTTTGAATTCGCCATAGCACGTTGCAAGTCTAAGAAGATGCATAACGCCCCTACTTTGAATTTATCTATAAATCTATAAATAGAATGCGCTGTCCTAATTACAGTAATTCGTTAGAGGTTCATCAAAAACTTTGCCTGATTTTCATACAAATTACTAACTAAATGAACATGGGCATCCTAGGCTCCCATCATTAAATCTATCAACATATTTCTAACAAAAAATTAGTTTGTTCAATATTTTAGTGTACACATTCCTGGAAGTTACATTAATAATTAATTAGCAATTCACCAACTATTTTATACATTTTAAATTTATATTTATACATTTCCTAAAACTATTTCTATTTCTTAAAACTTTTAGACAAAAATGTCACCGAAATATAATTGATGATTCATCGACCTTTATCATGATTCCAATTTTTAAAGAGAGTCAATGAGAGAAAGAGAGAGATTCTCTTTCGTCACGATTTCCGAAACGTGATGAAATATTGATGACATTGCGCCATTAATAGATCTGTGGAACTCCAGGTATGTTTGGGCGCGTTACTCATCTTGTTTTTATGAGGTCTTTGCCCAGATCAAGTCTTACCGTTTCGTGGTGGGATCGATAAAGACTGATGTTCAGCAGATTATACAGATAGTCCTCCAACTGCTTGATCCTCACGGCCAGATTCTCCACTGTGACGAGGCTCTCTGGTCGGTTGGGAAATCGTGGCAGCTTCCGTTTCTTTTTCTTCTTGCGCTTCTTCTGGATGCGCCGGGGTGTGAGTCCGGCCAGAATGGAACTGTGACTGGGACTGATGATGGCCATGGCATTGCTGCCGGAGCCATTGTTGTTGTTGTGACCCTGACCACTCAACGGGGTGCTGGACTGCTTGACCTTGGTGTGGGCGGGCAGGTCCTTAAGAGTGGACTCATCGGCCAATTGACTGGCGGTGGCCTTGAGCGTTGTTCGCTTCTCCTTGTGACTGCGACTGGGAAAGGGAATGTTGAGGGATGTACGGAAGAAGCTTAGCTGTTGGTGCAGTGAGTTGAAATGCTTATAACGCCGCTTAATGGTCCACTTGAAAGGGCCATGAGTCAGCTCGATGGTATACCTAGACAGCAAGAATTCGAATTAGTAAAATAATGGGTTAATTCAATTGATAAAACTCACAAATTAGGATTGAGGAGATGTGTTGTGACGCTGCGCTCAGTATCAACGATCCGGACGTGAATTTCTCGGCCAGGGATAAAGACTTTGCGCTGAAAGGAGTTGAACTTGACACTCGGACCATAAATGCTGGTGAAGGGGATCTCGTGGCGCAGCACCACGCTGTTATTCTCCTCGTCATCGAACTCCTCATCGTCGTCGTCCGTCTCCTTGCGCTCCACCAGGACCGGCTTGTCCCCCACATTCGACAGAATGGTCACAGAGTCGGGAAAGGCCAGTGTCTCATCATATTCGGAGTCGACCAGCGAGAACTGGAACTCTGGCAGGCATCGGCTTTGATGCTCAGCCACCGCATCGTCCGTGCAGTCCCGGAAGACCTCCTCATCCTCCTCGTTGTTGGAGTCCTCCGCCGAGGCATCAGCCTCCCGACTGCCTCGACTTCCCTTCTCGATGTCCGAGTCGGTCGTGTAGGGCGGCAGAACCGCTCCAGCGCCACCTGCGCGAACCTCTGCCATGGCCTCAAATTGGGAGAAGTAATAGGAACTATCTAGATCATCGTAGCCACTATTGACATAGCCACTGAAGTGTGTTGGCCGGTATACATCATCTGTGGGGTATTCAGCTGAAACAAGATGGAATAATTAGTACTAAAATTCATCTCGTAGCTCATGGATTCGGTTCCAGCAACAAATCACACTACTAGTTAGGAAATAAAGCTTCTAAATTCGTATTTAGTGGACTTTCTATCAGCACAAAGTCGGCATTTTCCAAGTGCAATTCAGCATTTTAAGTGTAGTTCCCCCCACAGTACAAATAGCTAAAATCCTTATCAATATTTGCTTCCCTTCTCAAAGTACTTTGCCCCCACCGCCACTCTCCCGACAATTATGGCTTTTCAATTAGCTAAAATTACGTTTGGTGTTCCATCTGGAGTGCTGGCCAGCTATCGCCGTGCATTTGACTCAACCTGGCGATATGATAACTGAAGTGCAGGCGGAAACTTGAACATTTATTAACCGAAGCCTCGGCTAACCTCTGTAATGTGTAATTAGCGCATGATTTCTCCAGTTTAAAAATACAGAAGCTCACTCAAGGCCATAGCTCGCGACATGTGCTGTAGTTAAGTTTAGTGCTTATTTCAGAGTACGTTGCTCGATTGAACTTGACATAGGAACCCTGCCAGACCTTGAGCTGTGCACACACGTCGCAGCAACCTCCTCCCCCTGGACACATGAAGCTATCTCTTAGCGTTAAGTGCACATGATTTGTCTGCTGATATGTATTCTTTTGCATAACCAGGAGACTGGGTCATAGTCACAGATAATGCATACGTTTTCAAAACAATTCCCTAACAAACTACCCCAGCTTTCAGTTAAATGCTATTTAGATAGCGCTCACCACTATAAACCTAGGAGCAACTGATGGATTAGGAGATACCACACGGTAGGGTGGAACCATATATCATCCATGGATAAGGGGTCTTATCGAGGTGGCTATTGATCGCTTCTGAAAACTGCACAAAAGAAAAGTGCGTGCTGTTGTTATCGGTGGCGGCAATAAACTACATAAATCAGTATTTAGTCAAGTACTTTGATTAGCTGCCAATATAAACAGGTGTCCCCTGCACCGACACATTATTATTATTATTATATCCAAGTCTGCTGAATTCCGAGCTTGCCTATCGCTAGACAAATATTTATGGGAGTGCATGATTTGCCTTATCACAGTTGATGGTTAAAATTAGCTGGGACGCCGAGTGCAAGGGTTTTGATAATGGCTGTCAGTGATCTATGACATTGGGGGATTACCACCAGACACTATCTAAGTTGGCTCACCGAGTAACTTCCAAAAAGTACGGTCTAGAGTCTAGACCTTCCACTTGCTCAACCATATGTCGTTGGAAGTGTTCAGTTTTTAAGATAAGTTTCACATAAAAGCGGGTGTGGGCACGTTTCTTATCAAAGAACTCACTCGGTTATCAGCTTGAAGTTACCAAACAAAAGAACTCTTGAGCCGAATGCCAGAAATGGGGTTCGCCGTAAACCTTGGCATTCTTAGATGGGCGATAAAATGCGGTATTTATTTATAGGTAGCTTTGAAGAGATGAAAGGTGTTTCCAGCTAGTTACCGTGTCGATAAAGTGAATTGTGGATATAAATGAAATTATGTTTGCTATAAACAATTCGCTGAACCAACTCTGATGCCATCGACCTCGATAATGGCATTTTGAATAGGGTCTAATAAAAGATTCCCAAAAGTTAGCACATTCTCACTTTCAGCTCGTAATATTTACCAATTTCATTAACACATTCGCTTCGAGTTGAGTAAGTCAACTGAAATGTCTTTAAAATAGGATGATAAACACTTGACACTTTCTTCGCCATTAAGATAAGATGAATATGGTCATTCTGCGGCAAGTGAATCCCCAGATAATGGGAAGCAAATATCAATGTAGGGGAACCCAAAGAAGGTGCAGTCTGGTTCTTTTAAACAATTGTATTTACATTCTGCGAATATAAAAATAGATTCCGTTACCCTCTTATCTATAAGAAGCTCACGAAATTACGTATTACACAAAAACAAAAAGAGTTATATCCAAAAACCTGCATTGCAGTATACAATTTATTATATATATACTTGTATATAAATTCAACAATACTTTGTAAAAGGTTCTTCTAAGTAAGACAGGCTTAAAACTTTCCTTAACTACCAAGGCCTTACAAAATATATAAATTTATGACCTTTCAGAAAGTTCGAAGCCCGATGATATTGACAATATTGTTGTAATGCCTTTGTTTAGCTTCGATACTGGGCTGTATAGATACGTATGAGCAAAAATCAGTCCCCCTGAACAGGTCTTTCAACCCAACGGGCACTTGTTCCATCTGACCTACACATAATCCCAAAGAAATCGAAACTTCCTGTTGCATTATCCGAATGTGAGTGCTGATGTAAATCAGACACCATATTTTCATATATGTACTTATCGACTGTATAGCGTGGCTTTTAGCGTGCCAAGCATTTGAAAATCGGTTATGATTCATTTACAAATAACACCGTTAGGAGGAGCCCCAGCACGCAACCCGAGGTGCAAGACATTGGCACCATGTAGATATGTACATATATCTACAGGTACTTATATACATTTATAAGCCAACGGAAATGGCCAAAGTTGGGTTGTGTTAATTTATTATTAAGTCAGTTGGAACGGCGGTTATCAGTTCTTTGTTGTCGCATTTTCCGAGTTCTTTCATGGGCTACGCCCGTTGTTTTGGACACTCCCCCTCACTCAGCAGAGTACTTGCAAATTGTCAATTTGGATACTTTTCACATTTCTGATTCCAAATAGATTGCCAACCAGTTCAAGATTTTCAGCAAAACTGGTTCACTGTTATCTGGCGATGACGCAGAGTCTCAAAAATACACCACCGCGTGCGAAGAGCAGAGTGATCTAAGATAATCAGCCTCTACTCTCAGCCGGCTTTAATGGTTTGTGTTCGCGAATGTCTTTAAATGTCTGTAGATCTATTACCGAGTTTATGCCAAGCCAAATTCATGCTTGTGATTTTAAAAGTAAAAGCATAATCAGCACGTTAAGAATTAAAGAAACTGGACGAATGAGTAATATACATATGAGAAGAATTAAACAACTGTGAATTTAACCAAACACTGGTATTCCCATAGATACTATATTGTAGAGCATAATATAAAATCAATTCTATAATTAATTTTATCCAATTATGCGACACATGTACATACATATATACATTTTCAGAATCGTTTTAATCGAAAAAAAATTCAACACATCTGGGAAAATGCTCCAATGCCTGCAGTCCAAACAAAAAATTCTAGTGCAACAAAATCATATGGCGCTATGCATCTTATTCCTTACATTATTGGATACAGCCATAAAAGGGTGCCACAGAAATTGCCGTGTGGTTTCAAGACTCACTGAAGTTGAGCCTAAATATGGAATACAATTTTTAAGGTCTGGTCTTTACCCTTAAACACAATTTAATCCTATTTTAAAATCTCGTATTCCCGACTTCATAATCTTAGTATTAACTGACATTACCCATGCTGGCCATCAGCTGTGAGATGCTGCGACGATGACGTCGCACCTGCAAATGCTGCAAACTGGCCGCCACCGCCGCCTCCAGAGGCGGATGCAATTGCAGTGACTCGTGGGGGTCTCTATGACCACCACCGCCTTTGTTGCCATGGCCGATGCCATTGCTGTTGCTGTTGCCGGTTCTCGTTTCGGTGGACTTGGCCATCATCGATGAATGCAATTAAGTTGGCTTTATTTTATTTTTGGCCTGCGGTTTTTGGTTTAATTCTCTTCTGTTGTTGTTGTTGTCGCCTCCGGGTCATTTTTGCATTTCCATCTGCGGTCAGCATTTGCACGCGTTTTCGATTCTGGCGCACTGCGTTGGCTAATTAAACCAGAAATTATAAATAACGCAAATGCGTTGCCAATTGACAGAGAGTCGATGACTGATTGATGGACCAGAGCGGTGTAATCAAGCAGGAGAAGGGGAAGCTGAGGTGGAAAATTCTCTATGCCACTTTATTTATTCATTTATATTTCACATTTGTTTATTTAATTTTTAGCTTTTAATTTTTATCAAGGCGTTAAAGGTGCTATATATATATGCCTTTTAAAAGCCCTAAAAATGTGTTTAAAGTTAGGCTAACAAATATTGCACGATAAAAATATAAAAATACAAAATTTATACATCTTCTAAAGGTGTTTTTAAAACACAAGTGATTTATGGAACACCTTAAATTATGACTTTCTTGTATTCAACTAAGTTTATTAATACGTAAGAGCACTTCGAGATGAATACAACTTTACTTTATATTTAATTCGTTTGTAATATTGTTAAATCGTGTTATATTGTATTAAAAGCTTCATATTAATTTTTGTGATACAATTTTGTCCCTATATCTTGGCTTTAAATTTCCATCACAGCTTCCAGTTTTCTTGACTTCTTAGAGTACTCGCTTACTCTCCTGGTCACATCAAAATCCACCCGCATTGGAAAGTAATTAATTAAATTTTTATCATTCGGCATTTCGTTATCTTTTGCGCAAACACCGCCAGGCCGCGTTTTGCCACCGCTGCTGGCCACTTTTGTGGCTGTTTTCGTTTGTATTTCATCGTATTTGGCTTTTGGCGCTTCCAGCTCATAAATGTTTTGCACAATGGCACACTCACTCACACACACACACTCACACACACGCAGACGCACCAATTGCTCGAATATTTCCCGTATTTTCACATATATTTCACTCTTTGCACTTGGCACTTGGCCCCATCAAAGCGATGGCCAAAAGTGCCAGTTAAATGGGCCGTTTTGTGAGCTGGGCACTTGTATCTTTCGGATGCAACATGTGCACTTGTATCTTTCGGATGCAGATACTGCGATACTACGGTTTCGGCACGCTTGCATGTGCCAAAGTCGCGATTTGTTTACCTTCTCGGGCCGCCGGTGCCGCCGCCGACTAACGGAAGTACCACGATCAGAATTAGTGCGGCAGACAGAGACGGCGAGAGGTGAGAAATGCCACGCAAAGGCAAGAACAAGAAGTGACACTCACACACGCAGAGACATCAGCAAAACGCCGAAAAGCTTGCCGCTCTCTATCTCTCTCTCTCTCTTCTTCGCATCCGCGAACCGCGATCCGCGAGATACGTTGCGCCAACTTTGCCGTCACTCCGGTTAATAATATTAACTAAACTTCGCGCCGTTGGCCGAAAGCTTGTGCCGCTGAAAAGCAGTTAACGGTTAACGGGTAAGGTAAGCAAGCTTGCGGAGAAAGACAAAGAGAGAGAGAGAGAGAGCGAGCTGGTGGGAGAGCTGAGTTTTCTGGTCAACAGCTGCGAAGTTCAAAACAGCTGACAAAGCTTTTATTGTATATTTTCCAAGCCATTGGAAATGCGATCCGGTCTTCAAACTGTTTCGTGATCTTACGAACTTACATATGCAAAAATCAACTCTGGGATCGGTCACAAGGTCATCTGGGCAACGAAAGAAACCAGTTCTCTCCCATGGAATGTTGCCGCTGGCAAGAAGCTTTCGAAAGCTTTCCAAGGGGGTTCAAAAAACCTTTTCTAAACGCAGAGTTCTTTAGGGTACCTGACGGTGAATCACAGGCTCACTCTCCTCTTCTAGCACTATCTTATCACCACCACCAATCATGCGGCAGGAAGAGACTGAAATCAGTCGCCACAGCTGTAATCAGCGGTCATATAGTAATTTGTACGACCCCAATGCGCTACAAAAGGCCAAATGAAGCGAATTACAATTATGCTCTCGATTAGATTAGTTCACGCTGCATAACGAAATGTCAACGATATAATTGATTCATTAATATATGGAGCAAGATACAAAAAGATACAAGCATAACAGAACCAAGGGCATTCTTAAGTGACTCGATCATGAGATACTCTGTACTTTACAGTCTACACAATATTTTCTATTATCTACTGGACATATAAGCAAATATGTTTTAGGCCTGGTCAATTTGTGCGGATGAAAAAGAAATCTTGGAAAATTAGTCATAAGAAATCTACAATATTCTTAACAGAATGTATTGTAAAATGGACAAAACAAAAGCATTCAATTAAAAATGTGACCGAGATTACCTTTGTATTATAATAACCACGGTATCCGTGAACGCAGATTAAGTTTATTTTTATATTTTCTCAAGTCTAATACCAAATAGCCGTGGTTTCGAACTGAAGCGATCCCAAATTATATCATTTTATATTTTTTTATTTCTCCATTTTATAACCAACAGCAATATACTTTAATAACTCTTATATATAATAACTTTTATACTTCATACTTCATTACATATAAAGGTACATACCTTTTTTCTTTTTTATGAATTTATGTAGTAGATATGCGTTTCATGATTTCTGGGACGATAGTGATCTTGCAAAAGATATACATATGTTAATGTTGTAATCAAATTTGGAATCTCCAGCTATTATAGTCTCGAATTATTTAAATCGTTATTATTAGAAAATAAAGTTTGTGTATGTTGAAACATCTATAGTTGTTGCGCAACGTGGTTCTAGCAACATTGAACTATATTTGAATGTTGTGCAACATGCGTATTTGCCTTCTTTTGTCAACAATTTCTTCTGCCTTCTGTTCAGTTTAATTTAAGTATTTCCCAAATTGAAAATTATTTAGCAAAAAATTATATTTTTCATCTTCCCTTAAATTTTACCCACAAACAATAGTTTCAGATTACTATTAATTTATATTTTTTATTTATAGACTTAACTCATCAATAGAAATAGTAATAGGATAAGAGATCGATGTATGTATATAAGCAAATTTTGAAATCTGAGTAATTAAGGGAAACTTGCAAACTTTTGAAATCTGAGTTGTTAAAGCAAAAGCTAAAGGTTAGATAAGATAAGTTTGTGTGCACTTCACAAGTCATATGTAAGCACAAAACATGTTGGCAAACTGTCAGCGATTTTTTAAAGTACAATTGAACTGTTTACTCTGATGATAACTCTTAAAGAAACAAATTGTAAACCCAAAAATAACAAATAGAGTCCTACGCTATATATACTTTGGAAAAACCGAAAGCAGATCCGACTATTGGAGTGTCAGATGTCAATGAAATATATTTTTCGAAAGGGAACTGAACTAGGGATAAGTAATGAACAGAGAAAAGTGTGCAAATATTTCAGAGAACCATTATTTCTTAACTTCTTATCCACCATCCATTGTTTTCTTATCACCATCGATATCGCTGATATTGGAAGATATCGAAGTTATTTTAAGGAATTTTCATTTTGACTTCCAGCCACTTTCTCTTTAAATACAGAATCTCAGGAACCAAATCCACATATAAAAAAATTAATAGCACTTACTTACCGATATCAGAAATCAAAAGTCACGGCTGAAACCTTGCTGGCTCCAAATGCTAACGGTACAGATATCTCTTGTGATTCATGCGTCTGCTGGGGATAAATCACACACACAGGCACTCACTTTGACTTGGCAGTGGGTTAAATTAGAATATACATATCTTATGTACATATATGTGCACCGATTTAGCACTCTGATAATTGCAGCAATAAGAGCAATTCGTTTGAGGCGCCACACGAACGCACTGTTCACAGTTACATATGTATATGTATGTATGTGAAAATTCATAAAATTTAAATATATTAAAGTGATGTTAATCAATCGCACACCCGACAGTCAGCGTGTTATTGATTTCGAAGGAGACGCGTCGACAAACTTGAAAATTCGGCTGGTTGTTTGTTGGGAGAGCACGAAACAACTAAGAGTAAGAGGCACAAACCAACGTCAAAATATCAACGATCGACTTTGATTTCTCACTGGAAGCGCTGCGAGAGAGAGATGGAGAGGGAAGGCCTGAGAGAAAGCCCTGGGAAATGGCACGCGCTGTTCGTTTAGAAGTCTTTTTAATGCGCTTTTACATTTCTTTTCTTCACCGAACAATTACACAAAAATGTCGACCTTTGTTAAGCTATTCTTTTCGAGTTTTTCAATCGAAGCTTCCCGGACGCCTTCGAGGCTTACACACGACTGTCTGGCGTTTTGCGAGCGTGAGCTTTCGGCTGGAAAGCCAGTGTGTCTGATCGAGGCAGCGAGAGAACAGCTGATCTTGAAAGCTGAAACACGAGGCTCAGACTTTGACCACTAAATAAAGACGTTGAAATTTGAAATTGTTCACCGAAAAAACCGGAGACAGCAAAAACAAGTGATGGTCCTACAGTGAATTGTTGCATTTATGCATAAATACCTCAAATAGGAATATTAAACTCTGAAAAATATACTTCCTCATACCCACAGAATAACAGTAGATAAACCAAAAATAGCATTATAATGGTTTAATAAAGAGTGAATCCGTTCGGTAAAAATAAACATGCTTATATTATTTATTTTATACAATCACAGAATTAAATTGTGATACTTTGTTGCAGGGATTATAATTTCAGTCAAAAGATTAAAGCGCAGTGATCAGCATCAGTCGAGTCGATCTAGTCATTCCCGTCTTACCTTTTTATTTTTCGAGCCACATATGTACATACATATGTATGTAAACGAAAGGTTGCATTCGGTTTGTATTGCACTTATTTAGCACAGAAAAAGGAACGTGCCAAAACGCAACTTTATATTGTACAGCTGCCGTAGAAACGAGCTGGAAATTTACAGAATATAAATTATAATGATAATAATTATAATAATACCCCCCGACTTGTAACATTAACATTACACTTTTGTCAAGCCTGTCTGATTAAAGATTGAAATTATAAATCTCGATAACTCCTTTAAAAAATATTTTAATTAAATTTCGAAAGGGAAGTTTTAAAGCTTAAAGAGAGTATATTATTCCGTTATTTTAAAAATTGACAAAATAATGTTTTGTTGACCATTGACCTTAATTTACAGGATATATTAATTCTCAAAATCAAGTCCCAATTTTTATCCAAATCTGCCGAAAAGTATTAGTAAAATCGACTAATTTTGTTATTTTTAAACCTATCTATTCATTTATTTTCATTCGGATTTAATAAATGTCTTTTAAACATGTCTGATCACTGCAAGATGAAGAAAAGCTGTTAGGTCCCTTAATGGGACAGGAATTTTCAAAATTCTTAAATTTTTACTTATCTAATAATAGCTACAGGATGTAAATGTCTTTACTATTCAATTTCTATTTGTACTAGAAGAATAACTATTTAGGCATTTTCAACACGACTTATTTACAAATGAATCAGCTGATACCACAGTCTTCATCGTACCCAAATTGTAAACACATGGTTTAAATTGTTAAATATTATTTTACGTTTATTTTCTATGTTTTAACTTCTTTCGTCTACATTTATTTTCTCAGAAAAAAATAAAAGAATCCTTAATAATGTTTCAAAAACATTGCAAAGATAAAACGCATGAGTTCCGCTTACCTCTCGGAAGGTGGGAAAAGGCTATGGGAAAGATCGACTTTTGCTATTGATAAAGGGTTAAAGTTAATAGTACGGTTTTGCTTAGATATAAGCACTGCGCCTAGGCTTTAAACTAATTTAGTTCTTTATAATTATACTCTCTAATTATGTATTGTATTTTTTTCGCTTTGCCGCTGAGCTTATTTTATTTTCTTTTTCGTATTTCATTTCTTTTTTGCTTTGCCAAAATTTTAATAAAAAATAGTTGCATTTCATGGCTACTTTCACGTTTCCTAAATCTTGTATAGCACACTATATAATTCATATATTTAAAGCTACAGCTACAGTATATGTATGTGTATGTGGGCGTGTGTGTAAGAGTGTGTGTATGCATTGCTTATATGGGATGTTAAACTAGGATTACAACTAAACTGCCAACAGGATCAAATCAAGTGTTTACCATAAAGCGTTTTAGCAAAATCGGTTAGCATATAACCTACAGCTATAAAGTCTACATGCAGTACACCTAATCATTGTATATATAGATCTGAATATTTGTATATATATATATATATATGTATATATGTCAAATATATATAAAAATATATAAATACGCACATTATACCATAGAAAATCATAAGCGTCTGTCGTTTACAGTTACATTTCATATTTTTCCTTTCGAAAACCTGTTGCGGTTTGCCTTAAGCTTTTTCGATTTTTTCAACTTTTTGCTTCGTTTTGACACATTTTTTCGGACATCGCCGACCCTCTTCTAGGCATCCGACAAATCACAGTAAGCCGCGCTAACGCCTCCCGCCCCGCCACCATTGGACGACTTCTGCTCGTCGTCCATAAGAGCGTCGTCTATGAGAGCGTCGCTGGCTGCCTCGTGGTGATTCACCTGCGGCGACGAGGAGCTCTCGCCACAGTTGGTGGCATACACATGCCGTCGACTTCCTCCAGGCAGCTGATTCGAGTCATCCGTGTCCGCGTCGCGAATCGAGTTAAATGCATTGCAGGCATTGGCGTTCGGCGAGCAGGTGTCGTCATTGGGCGGATAGACGTGGCGGTGATAGCTGCCGCCGCCGCTGCCTCCGCCACCGATGCTGCCATCTCCGTCCAGCTCGGCGTCGCGAACGCTCCCGAAGACCGGCGTGTGTGAGCTGCTCTTACGCAGCGAGGCTGGCGGTGACCAGACGGTCTGGTAGAGCGGCGAGGCAAACACGTACATGTGGTTAAGATACTCCATGTCGTAGCTGGGCTGGTACGAGTCCGTCTCCAGCGGGTTGTACGTGGGCTGGTACATCGGAGTCTGCCGGCAGCTGGCCGAGCCCGAGGCACTGCCCGCATAGTGCGGCGTGTCGTAGTTCTGCGACCGACTGGAGCTGCTCAGGTGCAGCAGCTGAGCGTGGCCGCCACCAGCACTGCTCCCGCCGCCACCACCCATCCGATGGGCAGGCAGGGTAGCGTAGATTCCACGATATGCCTCGTATGGCGTCTGGGGATAGTAGGCATCGCTCCAGCGTACATGGTTCGGTGTATAGTCACCTTTTGCATAGAGCTATATTTATACAAGAAATGGTACAGGTTAGTCAATATTCTAGGCTTCCAAGCTGCTTGTCACCCACCTGAATGGGCCGGCAGAAACCCTTGTTCATATGACGCGGCACGCCAAGAGTGTAGCTGTGGCTAAATCCCACCTCCGAGCTCAGCAAATACTCGTGGAATTTGTTGGGAAAGAACTCAATCTGCTTGTAGTTGTTGTAGATCTCAGACTGAAAGGGAAATGGGAGAAGGTTAATGTTATTATTTATTAAAAGGTATTTTAATAGCCATAAATGGACTAATATCTGTCTAATGTCAAGATTGATCCTTACCGTCAGGTTCTTTTTCTTCTTGTAGCTGGCCCAGTTCTGGGCCTCCAGTATCAGTTTCCCTCCGGGTCGTAGCTGGTTGAACATCCGCTTGAAGGCCATCTTCAGGCCGGCATCGCCAAAGTTGAGATGGATCCACTTGGTCACCGAGAGACAGAGTATGAGATCGTATTGCTGTTGATCGTTGCTCATCAAGGACTCGTCCTTGAGCACATAGTTGGTGTGTCTGAAGAAGACGTTCGCCGGGAACTGGTTCTTGTTGCTGGAGATGTTGGGTGACTTGCCCGATGGCGGCACATGGGGAATGCCCCCGTAGGTTAGTGGAAATGAGATGGGAAAGAATTCGTGAGGTTTCACAAGCAGGGCATCAAGCTTTTGCTGATGCTGCAGCTCCTCTAGCTCCTGCTGATGATGATGATGATGGTGGTGATGGTGGTGATGGTGATGATGGTGTTGATGGTGGTGGTTATGATTATGACGATTCGGTTGGTGGATAAGTGACTGGCGCCGCTTTTTGCCACGTCGCGTTTTCTTGGTCGCTGATCCCGAAGCCCCTTCGTCCACAGGTTCTGTTTTTGGCTCCGCTTTTATGTCCGACCCTGCCGCCTCTGCCTTCACATCAGGCACTTTTTCCTCCTTGGGAATGCGAACAAAGATCGACAAATTTCTCCTGGCTCGAGCCACAAGCTCTCGATCGATATCGATGCCGACAATTGTTTTCGGCGCCAAATGCCGGGCCACTGTGATGGTCATGTGTCCCACGTTGCATCCAATGTCCAGGATGTCCTTGTTCTGGAACAGCTCCACGTGGCGCTGGAACACCTGCAGCCGCACATCCCGAACCTCGTTCATCTGCCGAAAGTCCACGTAGCGATCAAAGTTACCGTACCGGTACTTTAGCCCATCTGCCCTGAACTTAGGCAGCACTTTCAGTGGCGGAATCATGGCCGGTTGCAGCATCAGGCGACTGCTGTTGGCCTCCGACGGTTGAACAGGACCCAGTGATGCCGAGCCCTCCACCATACTGATGTCCGTCCCAGCTAGGGAATCCTGCTCACCAGCCGTGTGCGAAGTGGCCGCTGATGTGGTGCTTAGCGGACTACCCAGTCCGTGCTCTGGCAAGTCTGGCGTGTCATCTCGGGGTATCTCCACTGCAAGGAAGAACGCGTTAGTTCAATTCATTATCCTTAACTATATTCTGTGGTATCGGCAAACTTACCTTCTATGAGAGGCAACTGCTTAGGTGCCACTTCCTCAATGGGGCTAAGCAACTCCGATTCGCTGAAGGAAGTCGAACGCCGCGTGTTGGGCTTTCGGGCTCCGCTCGGTTGCAGGATACGCGGAGGACGCTTCCAGGCACCGGGTTGCGGAACCACCGGACTGACGATCTTATCCATGGCATCATGGCGATGAAATTTCTATCGGAACGGATGCGAAAAACGGTATGATTACATTAAATTAATTTAATTTTTATTAAAACTATGGTTCAGTATTAGGGAACATAAGTAAAATCAGTCCCCAAAATACCATATTTTTAATTGTAGATGAGAAACAAGCGTTACATTGTACATACAGACAAAAAATAATACTGTATCGAGAATATCTGTGGGTAGCTGAAGTTAAATCATTTGGAAAAACTACCTAATTCGTTTAAATAAATACATCCTACTATAATAGCACATACTCATGCTGATTAATCTATGGTATCATAATAATGGACCGATGCTCTTATGGCAACTTTTGATAGTCATCCAATTTAAAAACGTTGTATACTTACATCGATAAAAATATGACAAATATTTATATACCTCAAATATGAATAACTTTTGGAAATATTTTTATTGTAAAATTAACAAGAAAGGAAGCTAACTTCGGCACGCCGAAGTTTATATACCCTTGCAGATAGAACTTCGATGACTTCCTGGATTCCTTCCATACAATATAAAATATTTATATTAATGTTAAAAAAAACAATAAAGTAATACCTGCTCTCATTTCATTCACCTATACATATTATATTTTCAGTTTTACATTCACAGATTTGCATTTTTGCTCCACATCTAACGATCGTTTGTATGGCACCTATGTGATATAGTCGATTTTCATAAAATTTGCAACAAAATTCAAGACTGATATAAAACGCTATATTTCAAATTTAATGAAAATCTGCTGAAAACTGCAAACGTTATAATTTTTAATTGTATTCATTTTTTGATCGTTCGTTATATAGTAGTCCGGTTTTTTTTATAACTTTACACAAAATTTTGATTAAAATAAAATGATATTTTATGAAAATCTGGTGAAAACTGAAGAAGTTATAATCTTTAATTTTATTAACTTCTTTTATTTCTTATAAAATGGCTATGTATCAAATTTGATAAAAATCTGTTGAAAACTGAAAATGTTATACATTTTAATTGAATTAATTTCTCGATCGTTCCTATAGGAGCTATATGATATAGTCGTCCAATTTTCGTAAAATTTTACACAAAATTGTTGAATAATATGAAATGGCTATATCTCAAATTTGATTAAATTCTGTTGAAAACTAAAAATGTTATCGCCACCGCTATTGTCAGTCTTCCGACAACAGCCACCGCCATTCTCATTCCTCTCAAATTTCTCGATCGTTCCTATGGGAACTATATGATATAGTCGTCCGATTTTCATAAAATTTTACACAAAATTGTAGAATAATATAAAACGGCTATATCTCAAATTTGATGAAAATCTTTTGAAAACTGAAAATGTTATACTTTTTAATTGAATTAATTTCTCGATTGTTCCTATGGGAGCTATATGATATAGTCGTCCGATTTTCATAAAATTTTACACAAAATTGTAGAATAATATAAAACGGCTATATCTCAAATTTGATGAAAATCTGTTGAGAACTGAAAATGTTATACTTTTTAATTGAATTAATTTCTCGATCGTTCCTATGGGAGCTATATGATATAGTCGTCCGATTTTCATAAAATTTTACACAAAATTGTAGAATAATATGAAATGGCTATATCTCAAATTTGATCAAATTCTGTTGACAACTAAAAATGTTATAATTTTTTTTGTAAAAATTGTTCGATCATTCCTATGGCAGCTATATGATATAGTTGTCCGATCCGGCCCGTTCCGACATATATACGAGTGAGAGTATATAGAAGACTAACTGCAAAGTTTCATTCAGATAGCTTCAAAACTGAGAGACTAGTTTGCGTAGAAACGGACAGACGGACAGACGGACAGACGGACATGGCTAGATCGACTCGGCTGTTGGTCCTGATCAAGAATATATATACTTTATGTAGTCGGAGGTGCCTCCTTCACTGCGTTGCAAACTTCTGACTGAAATTATAATACCCTGCAAGGGTATAAAAATTTCATAAAAAAAAAGAAAATAACACTGTGCCAACTAATCAGAAATATTTTATACTTATTTGTGTTTATTTAACCATTTAACCATTTTTGAATACTTTTAATTTCATACATTTATTCAAAGTCACAGACTTATTTGTCAAAAATCTTTGTAATTAGCTGTCACAGCGATTTTGCGAATTTGTCAATACACTTTTATATCCTATTTATTTTTTTATTTTTTTTTTTAAACGGAATCATTTAATTAGCGGACAAAGACTGTATTTGAATGTAAATAATAATAAATTCGTGATGAATAAATAAACTGCAAGGCTTTATCTTTTTTAAATTTTTGCATAAAATTTGAAATCCGTGATTAAAAGTCTGGCACAGATTTCCGCAAATACTTAAAATGTAGTTAAACGCTGTTGACCGGTATAAACACAAAAACGGGATTGTCAAAGCATAAACACCAAAATCGGAAAACAGAAAACGGCAAACTGCCAAAAGCAATCAAAACAAAAACAGCGATTGACTTTCTGCCAAACAGCAACAACAACGATTAGGCGTTCCCCCACTCTTGTTCCATTTCCGCCACGTTCCATCTTCCACGTTCAATGTTCCCCATTTCACATTCCCCTTTCGACGCGCACTCACCTTGCTCTTTTGCGAATTGTTGCTCTCGCTGATTTTTCTCTTTCGGCCGCCTCCTCCGCTGCCGCTGCCCACGCTGGGTACGCTGCTGCCTCCGAAGCTCAGTCCCGTGCCTCCGACGCCGTAGCACGTGCTGGACAAATCCAGGCGCAAATCGCGGCTGGCCTGCGCCCGCCGCTCTGCCAGCGTAGACGCCACCGCCAGCGTAGCCGATGTTGCTGCCGAGCAGCTGAGCAGCAGCTCAGCCGGTGGCTCTGCAGCAGCGGTGGCAGCAGGAACATCCTCTGTGGCAGTGGCCACATGTTGCTGCCGCTGCGGTGATGAGGTTGCTGTGGGTGCCGTCGACGCAGCCTGTTCCACTTGCTCCTCTGTCGCTGCCGCTGCCTCGGTCGACGTCGGCGTGGGCATCTCTGCCGTGACCGTTGTCGCAGCCTGCGGAGAGCGCACATGCGCCTGCTGCTGGCCCGATTCCGCTGTTTCGCCCGCGGCCGGGGCAGCGGATTCGCTCAGCAACAAACTGCCGCTGCTGGCGTTCGCAGGCGCTGCCACTGGCGACGCCGCCAGCGAGGAGCTGGCCGTGGGCAGCGGCGTTTCTTCAGGAAACTCACCTCCACCACAGCCCCCGCCCCCGCCGACAACGGACTCGTCGCTGGCGTGCGAGGCATTGGTGGAATCGATGCGCCTCCGCTTCCGGTTTTTGCGCGTACGATGGTGGTGCTGCCGGTGGTGCAACTGCAGCATGCCACCGCCCACGCCACCCACTCCGCCGCGCTTCATCGGGGACGTGAGCTGCTTCTCGTACTCCATCGAGTCGACGGGGTCGAGCAGGTGCAGCGGGTCATGGATGTTGGGCGGTATGATGACCTCCACCTTCGGAGGCGTCGTGATGGGCGACTGCCGCGGCGTTGTCGCCGGCGTGTTGTTGCTGGAGGATGCGTTCGACGTGTTCTCGTTCTGCAGCGAGTTGAGGTTGAGGGGATCGGATATGTTGCCGCCCAGCAAGAACTTCGTGGGCGGCACGATCACCTCCTTGCGGAGCCGCTTCTCCGGAAGGAAGAACTTGGAGCGTCCGCAGCAGTAGTGCACCGCATTGGCTGCCGCCGCGCTGCTCGCAATGCTGCTGTTGCCGCTGAGCGAGCTGGTGTCCTTGCAGCTCTGCGCCTCCTTGCAGGCTGCGCCGCTGGCAGCAGCACCTGCAGCTCCTCCAACGCCGCCGCTTCCGGTGCCAGCGCCACCCGTCGCTGCAACTCCGCCGGCAGAGCTGCCATTGCAGCCGGTGACCAGACAGCAGGCGTGATTCGCATTATTACCGGCACACAGCACGTGGTGATGGTGACCCCTGGAAGAGATTGCAAAAGTAAGTACAATGGTTAATTTATTGCATCTACTAAATGGTTAGGGTGGATGATATCGTAAATATAAAGATACATATACATACATACATATGTATATTCATATTTGCATGTTGTGGCAACTGTTAAGCCTTATTTTTAATGTTAAGTACTTGTTCATTTTTGTAAAATTACTTTAAATATCTCTTATTTGACTAGTAAAACAAGCTAAACAAGAAAGGAAGCTAACTTCGGAACGCCGAAGTTTATATACCCTTGCAGATAGAACTTCTATGACTTGGAATCTCAACAATATAAATTATATTTATTTGTGTTAGAAAACAATGAAGTAATACCTGCTTTCATTTCATTCACCTATACATATTATATTTGCATTTTTACATTCGCAGATTTGCATTTTTCCTCTACATTTAACGATCGTTTGTATGGCCTATATGATATAGTCGTCCGATTTTCATGAAATTTGACACAAATTTTAAGAGTAATATAAAATGGCTATACCTCAAATTTGATGAAAATCAGCTGAATACAGAAAAAGTTATAAATTTAATTGTATTAATTTCTCGATCGTTCCTATGGGAGCTATATGATATAGTAGTCCGATTTTCATAAAATTTTATGCAAAATTGTAGAGTATAGGAAAATGGCTATATCTCAAATTTGATCCAATTCTATTGAAAACTGAAAAAGTTAAAATTTTTTTTAAAAAAATTTTCCGATCATTCCTATGGCAGCTATATGATATAGTCGTCCGATCCGGCCCGTTCCGACATATATACGAGTGAGAGTATATAGAAGGCTAACAACAAAGTTTCGTTCAGATAGCTTCAAAACTGGGAGACTAGTTTGCGTAGAAACGGACAGACGGACAGAAGGACAGACGGACAGACGGACATGGCTAGATCGACTCGGCTGTTGATCCTGATCAAGAATATATATACTTTATATAGTCGGAGGTGCCTCCTTCACTGCGTTGCAAACTTCTGACTGAAATTATAATACCCTGCAAGGGTATAAAAAGCTACAGTCGAATGTAACCGACTTAAAACATACCCTCTATTCAACGCCAGTTAGGAGGGATATGGACATGGCTAGTTTACTGTTTCAATTATGCTCAATTTTAACAAAAAAAAAAAAAAAAAAAAAAAAAAATTAAACAGGAAAGTGTAATGTTGCTAGGAACATGTTGACCGATATCCAATGGTGTTGCCAACACAAATGTTGCTGAAGTTTAAGATACACAGAATTTTAATTATCTAATAACTCCTGTGTTTATTATTTTTTACTTAATTTTTTCCTAGTACCTCCGCGCAAGTCTCTTTAGGACCTTAGGACCTGTTTTTTCCTGATTTGTGGAGGCAATATAAATGTTGTAAACAAATTTGGTAGCTCTATACGGACAATGAGATCTGTCGTTTCACACAGACGGACAAGCGGACATACCTAAATTGATGCGCCTAGTGATGTTACGAAGGGTATACCCTATGGGTACCGTGTATTAAAATAAATATGTCTTGAATGTTACATAACAGCTCGTTTTGCTAAGCAGAAGGCTCCTGTAACGAAACCTTCAGCTAGCTTTATGAGCTGACTAGGCCCTGTTCTATTTTAATCAAAATCCGGAAAAATCGTGATGCCTCTTATTGCTCTAATTCTCACCTGTGGGGCAGCATCTTCTTGTAGAGCTGCATGGCTCCGCCACCTCCTACTCCACCACCAGCAGCTGCGTTTTGTGCCAGCCTCGTGTTGTGGTGGTGATGGTGTCCACCGCCCCCGCCACCTCCTGCCCCGCCGTGATGGGCACCTCCCCCGCCGCCATGGTGGGTGGCTCCTGTGTTGCCATGATGGCTGCCACCGCCGCCTGCAACCTGGTTCTTGTTCTGAATACTCTGGATGTTCTCAAGATCTGCTTTGTGGGCAGCCGCCGCCGACGTCGATGTGGGCAGAAGGGATGCGGCCGCGGAGGCAGATGATCCCGCGGATGCTGCCTGAGCGCTACTGGCGCCAACGCAGGCGCTGGCGTTGTGCTTGCCGCCGGCCTTGTGCTGTCGCTTGCTCCAGGCCTTGTTCCTGTTCTTGGGACCCTGCTGCTGCTGCGGAGCTCGGAACTGATGGTGCTGGGCCGCCTGCGATTTTCCGGGCAGCGGAGTGGGGGACTTTGACTTGCTGGCCTGGGCAGCCGAGCCGGTATCCTGCGGTTGGGTGTGGGCCTCCTGCCTGGGACTCTGCTCGAGGCGCAGAGTGGGCGTCATGCTGGATCTGGTAACGCGACAATCTCCGGGACTGTCGCTGAGCCGCTTATCCATAATTTCTTAGTGGCGACTGGGCATAGTTTTTAGCACACACTGTTTTTTAACTTTAATTTGAGAGTCACTTGTGTTTTTAAACTCCGCAAAGGAGTGAATATTTATTCAAGCACTTTTTGATTTTCTATCTCCGTGTCCATTGATTATGTATAATATATAACACGCGATGAGTGCAAAAATATATGCAGTTCTTTAGTTTATATTGCTTTACACATTATTATATTTTATGGTCAACCATTCTCACTTTCACCATTGAATATTTTATTTGGAGTATCCATTTTATTGAAGAGATGTGTGTGTGTAGCTGGACTCAATTCGATTCTGCAACTGAAAAGAGTCAAAAGATAAATTTGAAAAAATTAATTGTGAATTTCTGGTGCGTCTCAATAGGAGAACTCTCCTCTCCTTCCCTCCGGCAGCTCCAATGATTTTTCAACACTTGAACAGCATTTTGCATTCATTATTTGCATAGCCCCAAAAAACACGGAGCTAAAGTCGGAGAACCTGCAGTCAAAGCAACCTAAAACCCAGCCAACCAACTAACGACAGAAACGAGCTTTGAAAAATTGAGCTATACTCCCCGGACTCCGGACTCCGTGCTCCGTACTCCGGACTGAGGACTCTGGATCCCGGACCTGCACCTGCACCCTCCTCTTGTGGCCATGTCTAGCCTGGCATTAATATTTACATGGCAAATTGTGGCTGGAACTGAGAGGCTTCTCTGGAGGCTTCTCCCCTCCCGGCTTCCACCAGTGCCCCCAAAACTCGTTCGTTTTGGTGGTTTTGTGGATTGCAACTAACAACCGGAGCAGACACAGGCTCCTCCTTCCTTCCTCCCTCCGCTCCCTCTCTTAGTTTCGAGTTAACCAACAAAAAAAATTCCACCAGTCGAAAACAGATTTCCTTGAGTGAGGCAGCGAGGGGGTAAAGGAACAAGTTGCAGAAGAAATGGAGCCAACTGCAAAAAAAAGGGAGAAGTTTCTTATGCAGTTTTGGGCTAGTCTGAAGGAAATGAGGACTAAGGACACTTTCATATACATTTCCCTCACATACCTTTAACTTTTTAACCTGAAGTCGCCTGGATTCGAAGCAAAACATTTTGAGTAATGCCTGGCAATGGGATACGTTGTGAAATATGTCGAATTTCTATGCAACTTTTTATACCCTTGCAGGGTATTATAATTTCAGTCAGAAGTTTGCAACGCAGTGAAGGAGGCACCTCCGACTATATAAAGTATATATATTCTTGATCAGGATCAACAGCCTAGTCGATCTAGCCATGTCCGTCTGTCCGTCTGTCCGTCTGTCCGTTTCTACGCAAACTAGTCTCTCAGTTTTGAAGCTATCTGAATGAAACTTTGCAGTTAGTCTTCTATATACTCTCACTCGTATATATGTCGGAACGGGTCGGATCGGACGACTATATCATATAGCTGTCATAGGAATGATCGGAAAAGTTTTACAAAAAAAATTATAAAATTTTTAGTTTTCAACAGAATTTGATCAAAAAAAAAAGATATAGCCATTTCATATTATTCTACAATTTTGTGTACAATTTTATGAAAATCGGACGACTATATCATATAGCTCCCATAGGAACGATCGAGAAATTAATTCAATTAATAAGTATAACATTTTCAGTTTTCAACAGATTTACATCAAATTTGAGATATAGCCGTTTCATATTATTCTACAATTTTGTGTAAAATTTTATGAAAATCGGACTAATATATCATATAGCTCCCATAGGAACGATCGAGAAATTTGAGAGGAATGAGAATGGCGGTGGCTGTTGTCGGAAGACTGACAATCGCGGTGGCGATAACATTTTTAGTTTTCAACAGAATTTAATCAAATTTAAAATATAGCCATTTTATATTATTCTAAAATTTTGTGTAAAATTTTATGAAAATCGGATTACTATATCATATAGCTCCCATAGGAACGATCGAGAAATTAATACAATTAAATGTATAACTTTTTAAGTTTTCAGCTGATTTTCATCAAATTTGAGGTATAGGTTGTTTAAAACTCTGGTCAATATTTTAGACCAGGAAGCAAAGTTGGGTGTGTTTCAAACTGTGTGTCTAAAAGTAGTACGAACCCAATCACAGACTTATAAACGTAATTTCATTTCATTTCGTAATTTGTCTGATCAAAGTAAAATAATAGTATATTAGTAATATTAAGACTATAGAAAATTCTTTAACTTGTTCAGTTTGTGCATTACGACCATGCAAGTCGGAGATACTAAGTAGTGGTAGTAGTAGTTATTAAGGTAGTTAAATTTAAAATTGGTTCAATTATTAAAATTAATGTGCAAAGTATAACGAAGATTTAAATTAACGAATTGGAAATACAATTTTTCAAAATGTTTATTATGTTTTTAACATTTTGTTTATATTCTTCTTTTCTTAATTGAATCAATAAATAAAAACAAATGTAAGGACTTTTAAAGTGCCTGAAAAAGCAACTTTAACGTGCACTTTGTGACGTATTTCAGTGTATCTGTGGGCAGAAAAGGGTCAGAATGAGACACAAAAAACAATACATCTTAAGAACGTCAGATTTTAAAGACAAAAGATCTTTCCAGATTCCTTTTTGGACACTTTATAAAATAGTATCAGAAATGAATATCATAATATCAAATGACTATCTGGGTTGTGGCTTAAATAAAATATTCCTTGTACGTTTCTGATATTAAAAATGTTGGTTTTAAAACCTCCTTAGTTATCAATAGCGCTGTTATCACGTCAACAAGAGGCAGATAATTAATTTGTGCTCATTGCGGGACCACCACAAGCTTCCATTACAGATCCGGACTTTCCCCTGGGGGCGTCACGAAGCTCTCAACCAAAAGGTTATCAGAAATCAGAACAGGATCCTCTAGGCCCAGTTCCCTGATGACGAGGCTCGGAACAGCGGCAATATTTATTTGCATATTTTTAGGCGCGCGAGTGCGAAATGAGAACGCAACGCGCCCGCTCGTTGAGAGGAGGAAAACACAAAGGAAAAGCTGGGCTGGTTGGCGAGGCCCCGAAGAAAATTTTAATTAAAATTTAAATATGCGGCGCGTTGTTGCCGTGCCAAAAGGTCACCCACCTCCACCCACACCCCCACACCTAGGCATAGCCATAGCCCAGCCCACCCAAAGGGCAGGGGGCGTTGTGTCAGAAACTGGAACACTGTGCGTTAGAGAGGCGGCAGCCAGCCAGTGGAAACAATCGCAGGAGCCTCTCGAAGGTAGAGCTAGAGGTGGCCCCATCAAGTTTCAATTTTTATTATTTTTGTTAAGTGGATATTCTCGCTTTTCGCTTCTCATTTCTCGCCCTGGCCAGCGGAAATTGTCAATTTTCGTAATTTTGTAAACATTTTAATGGAGAAAAGTTGTTGCCGCTGTTTTTAGTTGTTTGGAGATGTGATTTTTATGTAAATAAAATTAGTAGATTTGTCGCGGCATCTTTTCATTAAAGCCAAACAACTGAATAAACTCAACTTGGTCCTCGGGCGTAATTCAAGACATCGTCTGAAACTTTAAGCTTATTCGAGATATTAAGTGTGGTTGGGATGAACAACAAAAGCCAGCGAAGAGAGGCGATAAACAACAATGGGTGCCGATTTCACAGGTGTTTCAAATACCAAATTAAGTCCTGTGGGAGTCCAACATACATATTTGTCGCTGAATGAAAAAGCGCTTACACTGAGCAAAACGAACTGATATTTTATATGAAAAATCATTCATAAAAAATATTTGACACCACGAAATAGTGCATTCAAAAAACAGCTGCCATCAGTCAAATTCTAAATATTTGTATTTCTCTTTTGGACCAAATATTCTTTAAATGTTATTTAATAAGATATACTTTAGACCAAATATTCTTCAAGCCGCACTTATTTAGATATATATCGTTTCGATATTGCGTACACAGAATAGAAAATAAATCATTCCAAAAAATCCAACCGCGTTATCCCTTGATGTACCTTTTTATTCTCTTAAAGTCCTTTTAACCCCATTGAAATGGATATATAAAAAGAAAACAAAAAAGGAAGCTAACTTCGATACGCCGAAGTTTATATACCCTTGCAGATAGAACTTTGATGACTAGGAATTAATACAATATACATTTTATATATTTATGTTAAAAAAATAGTAATGTAATGCCTCATTTCTTTAACCTATACATATTATATGTATTTGCAGATTTTTAATTCACAGTTTTCATTTTCCTCTATATTTAACGATCGTTGCTATGATATAGTAGTCTGTTTTTAATAAATTTCCGTACAAAATTGTAGAAAAATATAAAATGGATATATCTTAAATTTGATGAATATCTGTTGAAAACTGAAAAAATTATACTTTTTACTTTACTTACTTGCTTTACACAAAATTTTAGAATAATACAAAATGACAATATCCCAAATTTGATAAAAATCTGTTGAAAACTAAAAAAGTTATAATTTTTTTCGTAAAAATTTTCCGATTATTCCTGTGGGAGCTATATTATGTAGTTCTCCACTCCGGCATATATACAAGTATATACGGGAGTATATAGAAGACTAACTGTAAAGTTCCATTTACATAGTTTCAAAACTGATAGACTAGTTTGCATAGAAACGGGCAGACGGACAGACGGACATGGCGAGATCGACTCGGCTGATGGTGATGAAGAATAAATATACTTTATATGGTCGGAGGTAACTCCTTCAATGCGTTGCAAACTTCTGACTGCAAGGGAATAAAAATTACTCCGACCTATTCGCTTACATAATATTTTGAGTGGAGAATTTGACACACTTTAATGGGTACATTTTCTCTGTGTGCATAGCAGGAAACATGAGTAAAAAACAAATAGCAAAGCATTTGTCCTCCCCAGGACACACAGGGAGAAGTGCGGGAAAATGGCGGAAGGCAGCTTGGGCGGTGAAAGTACAAGCTCGCCTTGCATATGTAATGTGCGTCCTTATTAAGCACAGCTTAACACCTACTCAGGGGAGAGAAAGAGACGACGAGATCGAGGGAGAAAGAGAGCAGGTGGAAAATTTGAAGGGAAAGACTAATTTAATGTCATGGCATTAGGGAGATTTACACAGAATGACGATAACAACAAGCACAGAAACACTTTTCCGCCATATGGTAAGCCTTTAAATATGGATGAGTCCAACTGGCAGAAATGTACACATATTAAACGCACATTGTGTGGCAGGTAATGATCGGGAAAGAAATATATACACAATGTGGCTCTGAATATATTTAAATAGAAGATGTTATGGAAAAGCTTAAAAAGTCCTTCTATACTAACTTCCCTCTAATATTTCCTATTCTC